TTTTTCCCACAAGTGTTCAAACCTCAGTGTTGTACAGCTCAAATGTGTCTTCATATTTTGAATATTGTGACTCATTCAGTAGATTTTTCTTTTTTGTATGAATGTTTTCAGTGGCTTTACGGGGTATTTTAGTTAATTGAGGAAAACTAAGAAAAAGAACTTTTAATTTAAGTAGTGAAATGCTGAATTTGTAGAAGTAATTGTATTTTTACATGACATTAGGTGTTGTCACTACTTTTAAAACAGGAAAGAGGGAGCTATAAAGGCCGGTTTTGGCTGATTGGGGCCGTTCAGACGAAGCCATAACTGCCTGCGTGTGATTTTAAAACCACGTTTTCAGGCCTCAGGGGGGAAAAAATAGGGTTTTTTCTGTATTAACAATTGTGAAATGTGAGCTTTTCTTTGCACACCTGTGTGTATCACAGCGTTTTATTTTGCGTGACCAGTCCGGTGTCGTGGATCAGAGCTGTCAGATGCTAAATAAAGCATGGATTTAGGAACACAGTCACTGTTTGGTCATTAAAACATCTCTGCTGCTAAAAAAAGATGCCTTTTCTTTTTGCGTTTGAACCCACTGGGGGGGTTAATGTAGGTTTATAGTTCTTGTGCATAGGAAAAGGCTTTTGGACTGTTATGGCCCGGGTCTAATGTTAGCATCAAGCTAGTTTTAGGTTTATGGATGTGAAAAAGATTCAATTATACATTAAATTATTAACTTGCATTATGACAAGCCTATTGCAAATTTATTTTTATATTGAATCACAATACATGCATGCAATTGGGTAGAAACTGTAATATATGATCCCTTTGCAAACAAAAAATCAATCAATTAATCAATGTTTTTTTATATAGCACTTTACAACAACCGGAGCTGATCAAAGTGCTTTACAGAATAAAAACAAATACAAACAAATCAAACTATCGAAATATACAAAGAAAAACACATTGGTGACAGAACCCAGTATACAGAGATTATAGAGATTATACAAACAAAAAATAAAGTTCTATAAAACAGTTATTAGACGGCATTGCAAAGCATATCTTCCATTATTGACTTTTATCTTGTATTCCAAACCAGAGAAACTTGCTTGTTTGTAGAGAGAATAACTTTATTCTTGGATAAACTCTTGGATAATTTAAAGAAATGCCAATAGAGTGTGTCCCCATTGTGTCCGAGGGGAAAATGCTGTTTCCTTTATGTTCTAATAACCGCAGGGCGCCCATCCATCTTACTGGAGGCGACACTCTGGCCCCAAAGGGTGGATAACGAGATGAAAGCATTTAGTGAAGTCCATTTAGTGATTTAGTCATTCCGAAATGGAGCCATGATTTAAAGTTAAATCTTTCAACTCTGCACATATCCTTAGATTTAGCTTAAAACTGCCTCCTTCTCACTATTGCTGTTCAAAAGTTCCTGTTTCCTCCAACAGGCAGTGACCTAATAAAGAGTTGTTTTAATTTATTCGTTTATTAAATAGGGACAAATATGTTTCATGAATTATGTCACACACTACAACATTTTAGCTAAGGCTAATTCTCAATGCCTGTCCCCAGTTAGGCTTTTACACAAAACACAGTGACTGTACACAACAGAACAAATCACACTAAAACATCACAGACTGTTTAAATCTGTAGAAAAGTGACAACAAACCAGAGAAACAGATGTACAGTGGGGGGAAATAAGTATTTGACTCCTTGCTGATTTTGCAGGTTTGCCCACTTACAAAGAATGCTTATTTTTCCTCATCAGATGGTTATCAATTTTTATAAATTCATATGATGTGATTTTCTGGAATTTTCTTTGGGATTCTGTCTTTCACTGTTAGAATGTACATATGATTAAAGTTATAGATCGTGCATTCTTTGTAAGTGGGCAAACCTGCAAATAGTATCAAATAAAGTAAACAAGGCTATGGCAAAGTATCAAATAAAGTAAACAAGACTATGGCATGGCTGTGACAAAAATCAAACCTTACGTGGCGAAGGGGGGCCAAAAGACGAAATGACGAAAATGACGAAAATGTTGAGAAAATGACGAAAACGCACTGGCACAGGACATGGGAAACGAGGACTATTTAAACACATGAGGGAGGGGAACCCCAGGTGAACACAATAGGTAATCAACACATGACAACACACCAGACATTCCCCCAGACGTGACAAATAGCTTGTGACCCTGCCACAATCTGGATGATGTTTCTGTTTCTGTGGTTAGGGTCTTTGAAAAACTGGAGGTGCTCAGTTTGATATTAACATTGACATTGTTGTGTTTTATCAATATAGGTCATTTTTATTATATTTTATTATATTTATTTATTTATATTTTATACTCTGTGTCTTTGAGGTGTTCTAAGAGTTTGGGTGTAATGTCCCTCTTCAACCCTTTAAAGCCCGATCCAAAAATAAAACAAAACAGAAAATTACTTTTTTGGGGTTTGAAGTCTTTATTTGGCCTTTTCACAAAACATGTAAGAAGAAAAAAACAGAAATACATTTTTACTATTAATAATTTATTACTATGGGATAAGATTATTTTTTGTGTAGTCTTCTGCCCCCTGTTATCAGGTGTATCTGATTGTGTACAATAGGATTTTGAGCAAAGTTTTTACCATTAAACTATGCGAAAGGTATCAGATGCAAAACATCAAGACAAGACATGACGAGACACCAGACATTCCCAAAGACGTGACAGACATAAGCCTTTAGAGAAGATTCAGGTAGATGGGAGCCGTACCCTTGAGGACTTTGTAGGCTAGCATCAGGCACTTGGATTAGACCTATACTGGTCTTTTAAAAATTATTCTGAGCAGTTTGGGTTGTGTAAAAAAGAGCGATACCGCAGGTCTTTCTTTCATCCCTGCTGCTACCAGACTGTACAACTCTGCACTTTAACAACTGCTGTGCAATTGTATTATACTTATCGACCTGTGTAATATGTGTACTGTGTGTGAGCCATCAATGATTGTATGTATTTTAGTCGCTCAAATCTGTGTTGCGCTGTGTTGCTTCCTTGTATAATTTGTTTTTTTTTGCTGTACTTTATGCACCTTTTCCTCCTTTTGAACTCTAACCGATGTGTGACCAGTGAATTTCTCCACTGTGAGATCAATAAAGCTCTTATCTTATCTTATCTTATCTTTTTTTTTTTTTAAAACAATACTTTATTGTATTTTAGAAACAAGACAAACAACAACAATTCAGCACAGCCAAGTTTAATACAAAATCTGAAATGTCCAGCAAAATGTGAATTTCAAATACACATCGGGGTCAAAACCTATACTCCATATGATAAATCAAGGGAAAAAAAGATAAACAAAAACA